GCGCCTAGCAAGGGGGACCTCGTCCTCCTCGCTCTCTGTCTCCTCCCGTGCACGTCTGCGTGCACCCGGGGCCGCAGCCTCAGCTCTGTTATCTGCTCGCGGCCTTGACGACGAGCTGGATCCCCTGTGAGACGGGCCGCGTGATTGAGGCGCAGGGGGTGGCCGCTCGTCAAACCTTGTCTGACGGGGTTGCGCACTGCCCGACGCGCGACCTCGTGAGCCTTGGGCCCGCTGTCGTTGGCGTTCCAAGATGCTGCTCATGTCTCCTGCACAGAAAAACGCATAAGCCTCAGCCCGGCTACAATTAATACTATATGATAAAAATATACCTTCGCTGAACAGGTTTGTCACATCGACAAACCCTAACACGACGAGAGCCTCCGAGGTAACCAGGGCTTCTAGATCTATTAGACCCTCCCCCCGCGCATACTCCAGCAGTTGGTTCTTCAAATCGACATCCCGAGGCAGTAGCTGAGGATAGTTGATATGAGCGTTGGGGGTGCGCCACTCAGACAGCCGGGCAGCGAGGTCGTTACTTATCCTTTCTGCTCGCGTGTCGCGAACGAAAATAAATTGTCTCTTCCACCTCGCCACCTTGTTCCTCACATTTTTGAAGAGTTGGCTCTTATCCTTCCCTGAGAGGTAGTACCACTTCGCTCCTCGCGAGTTCGGACACAGCCGGCACTGAAACAGCGACCTGAACACGATCGCCTTGGCCGGCACCTCTAGTCGCTCACACAACAGCATAAAGCCAATAATAAACCTTATGCTGTTAGGCGTCAGCTGCGTCAGCGCCAGCTCGTATTCCGCCAGCAGGTCGAACACCAATCCGGGCAGGGGAAACCGCAGGCTGGCGTCAAAGTGGTCCGCATACACTGGGATCCAACCTGTCTGTGACACCGTGCAAGCCCTCTCATTGGGTGCGCCTGTTCGTAAAAGTATTGTCCGAGGAATATGATATGCCCTCACCATATCCTCCAACCTCCTGTACCCGCTGATTGAAGGCGCGCAGTCTGCTACTTCATGATGAAGCACAGCCCGGAACCTAAATCCGGCGGGCAGGTCCTTCGGCGCCTTTTGCAGGTTGCTCAACCTGCCCGTTATGGTCCTGCTCTCCCATTCTTCCATCACAGGCCGGTCTGAAACATGGCTCACTACATCCCCTGCCCCCTCCTCGCGGCCTGGTGTCCCCTCGGACGAGCTGCTCGACGGTGCGCTGGGGTGCTCGACACCGTTGTCGTTGGCGCTGGAACTCGTGTTGCTCTCAGACGCCATTGTTTCCGGCACATCCTGCAACTCCGGCGGCACTATCATCGTGATAGGCTCCACTGACAAAACCCCTCCCTCTTCTCCTTCTCTGCCCTGGTTACCTCGTTGCTCTGTGAGTTCTCTCAATGAAACCATTTTTACCTGAAACTGATGTGAAGTTGATTCGATGTACTGATTCTTCAGGCTGGAGCGTTCTTGCTTCAGAGAATTTTGGAAAGTTAAGCAAACACAGAAATGAAAATGAAAGAGGAAACGGTTACGCAGAGAAGGATATGGTAGTGTTCATTACCGTACGCGTGTTCCTGACGCGCCAATTCGCGTCATATACGTGGCACACGCTTAACGTCCCTTCTACATAACGTGCGCCGCCTTTAGCTGTCACGTCCCTCGAATGCTGAGCCAGCATTTATGACGGGGAAGACAGAGGGATACGGGGAGATCAACCGTATCTCCTCAGAGATCTGCTTGATTCAAAAAATCCAAAGATTCAGATCGTCAATGCTGATGTGTACCTTGTACTGTCACATCAGCTCGCCATAGCGAGCACACTTGCCAGGTCGTTACAAAGATGATATTCGCCAGATCGGCTCAATCATTCCAGCTCGTTCACAAGTACAGACCGTTTACTAAAATCCCTATTAATTCAGCTCGTTACATATCGCGACGACAACCACATTTGTCAGGTCGCCACACGGATTTGCATAAACCAATGGGCGCCTATGGTCACCCTATTTGACAGCACTACTCGTGCGAGCTGAGAAAGCTCAGATAAAGAATTACGAGCTGAGACTTTACATGAGCTTCCTGCTTCCAGGTCGTCACCTCAGTTTCATGGCTCTAGGTCATAGTGCCTCGGCTCCGGCCATAGTGACTCCGAGTCACCTACTTCACCTCGGCTATGGCCCAAAACACATGCACTGAGCTCGCCTGGTTTTAACACCAGCTCCCCCACGCCTGCTCGATAGGAAGCCGGCATACACATGCACAACAGAATTGGCCGCGATGGTTTTAGGCCGCCTAGATCAGTCGTGCGTAAGGGCGAACATGAACATAAAACATCACTCCTCATCCTCAGGGTCAAACACCGTGCTAACAAGACTCCCGACCCAGTTCGTCAACCGAACACCGAGGGGGGAGTAATGTTGGGATTAGGCTCAACGCCCTCTTAGGGCCATATGTAGCAGGCCCAACTGCGCACCCACAGGCCCAAGAGGAGGAGACATACCCACATGGGCAGCACCACGTGGTCCAATGAGAGGCTTACATGTGCAGATACATGTCAGTACTTGGGGCTATAAATACCCCTCAACCACCTCCGAAGAAGGTAATTAATCTCTACGCTTTTCTCTCTGCAATTACTCCTTGAGAGCTTCTCTCTCTAGATCCTTGAGTATTGCTGACTTGAGCGTCAGAGTGTTTTCCCCGAGGAAACAACCTCGGGATTTTCAGGTGTGGAAGCAGCTAAAGACTTCAACAGTGTTGGATTGTGAAGCTGCCGAAACACATACCAAAGCAAACGCGAGCCTATTCCCATTTCGTTGTATCCTAAATGAATTCCTCTTCGTCTTTTTGAACAACATTCAACCAGATCATAAACAGGAATTTTGAATTCCCAACGGTCTATTAGTCTAATCAAACAGTTTTTTCAATATGATGATCATAAATCATTGGCAGCATTTGGAAATATACCCTTCTCTCCCCTGATTAACCTGTATGGATCCCATTATCATCAAATCAAACCTGTGT